TTCTTTAATTTTTTGGTCCATAGGCCTATTTTTCAAATTGTAATTTGTTTTTATCTCAAAAATTTCCAAAATTTATATTCGTTTACTTTTTAACTTGGACCTAAAGCAATTTAGTTGAATTAGGAATATTTTTTCTTTGGAAAACTAAATATATATACATTTATGTAAAACCAAAATAACCGTACCAAAAAGAATTTTCATTATAAAATCAATATTTTAGTATATATATTTATTTTAAAAGAATATTTTTTTACAAGTACTATATAAGGAAAAATACAGTTACTACAAGAAAAAATTTACTAAAATACATTTACTATAAAAATAAATTTACTATAAGCAGAAATTTACTAAAAAAAAACATGTACCGTAAGAAAAATAAATTTACTACAAAAAAAAATTTACTGAATATATTTACAATATAGAATAAATTTATTATTAGGAAATATAAATTTAGCAGAAGAAAAAATTTACTAAAATACTTTTACTATAAGGAAAAATAAACTTACTACAAGAAAAAATTTACTAAAATACATTTACTATAAGCAGAAATTTACTAAAAAAAAAACATGTACTGTAAGAAAAATAAATTTACTACAAAAAAAAATTTACTGAATATATTTACAATATAGAATAAATTTATTATTAGGAAATATAAATTTACCAGAAGAAAAAATTTACTAAAATACTTTTACTATAAGGAAAAATAAACTTACTATAAGAAAAAATTTACTAAAATACATTTACTATAAGCAGAAATTTACTAAAATACTTTTACTATAAGGAAAAATAAATTTACTAAAAGGAAAATGTACTAAAATATAGAATAAATGTACTATAAGGAAAACTAAACTTACTACAAGAAAAAATTTACTAAAATACATTTACTATAAAATAAATTTACTATAAGCAGAAATTTACTTAAAAAAAACATGTACTATAAGAAACAAATTTACTACAAAAAAAATTTACTAAAATATATTTACTATAGAATAAATTTACTATAAGGAAAAATAAATGCACTATAAGAAAAAATAAATTTCCAATAAAGAAAAAAAATACAGTTTCTTTATTTTTGTTTTTAATCAAAATTTTGTCATCTTGAAAAGACGAATGCTAAGAACCATATTGTTAACCGCCATTTGTACATGTATACCCAATTCTGCAAAAGCCGCTTAAACCATGTGCCGCAGGTATGTCTAGGGGATACAGGTGCTGGCGCGACGCGACGCCAGTAACTTGTTTTATGACTGTTAATTCTAAGCCTCCATTATACATGTATAGAAATATTGTAGACATTGTATTTGCAAATGCAGTAAACATTGCGAATATACTTTTGTCTTTTCGTCAAAACTCTCCAATGTGTCCAGACTTTCCAGCTGAGAATATAACTTCAAGTCAGACACGCTCTGTTTTCTGTGTTCGAGAATATTATTCATCGCCAAAGATTCTGGCTCCTTCATTTTTTTTCATCTTCTTCTCGTCTCCTTTAGATAAAAATCTTTTCTCCTTTTGGTGTATTTAAAAATTTAAATTAGAATCAAGAACATAGAATTTTTTTGAAAAAAAATTATTATCCCTTTTTTGGTTTACCGTGTTGAATTTGAAAAATAAATAATAATCGAAATTGAACTTACTAATGAAAGATAGGACTATTAATAGTAAAAAAAAATTAAATACAGTAAAAAAAGCACTAATAATAGTTTTAAAAAAATTATAAAAGAGTAAAAAAGTACTAACATAAAAAAATAGTTAAAAAGTACCAAAAATTATACCAAAATAATAGTAAAAAAAATATAAAATAGTAAAAAAAGAACTTAGTAATAGTAAAAAATAAAAAATAGTACTGATAATAGTAAAAGTATTTGTAAAAATTAATAGTCAAAAATAGTATAAAGTACTAAATATAGTAGTAATAGTAGAATAAAATAGTACAAAAGTACTATAAATTGTACCAATTATAGTACAAAAGTAAAATAGTAAAAAGAATACTAATAATAGTATAAAATAAAAAATAGTAGTAATAGTAGTAAAAAAATAGTTAAAAGTACTAATAAAAGTAAAGCCATTTGTAGAAATAGTACTATAAATAGTAAAAAATAGTAATAAGAGTTCTACTAATAGTTAAATTACTGACTCACTTTTTGCTTCTCAATAAGTAAAATTCTACTAATTGTTAGTAACTTTTACTAACAATTACTAAAATTTAACTAATTCTAATGCAAAAAGTGAGTCACTAATTTAAATTAGTAAACATTTTTACTAATTCTGATTTAGAGAGTAGTAAAAAAAGTACTAAAAATTTGTATCAATAATAGTAAAAGAATAATAAAAGGTACTTATAATAGTAAAAATATTTGTAAAAATAGTACTATTAGGAGTAAAAACATAGTAAATACTAAAAATAGTTCTAATAATAATATTAAAATAGTAAAAAAGTAGTGAAAATTGTTCCAATAAATGTAAAAAAATATAAAATAGTACCTACTAATAGTAGTAAAAAATAAAAAATAGTACTACTAATAGTAAAAAGTACTAAAAATAGTATTAATAGTAATATGAAATAGTTAAAAAATACTATAAATAATTGTACCAATCGTAGGAAATAAATATAAAATAGTAAAAAAGTACTAAAAATTGTACAAATAATAGAAAAAAATATAAAATAGTAAAAAGAGCTAATAGCAGTAAAAAATAAAAAATAGTACTATTAATAGTAAAAATTACTAAAAATAGTAGTAATAGTAATATAAAATAGTAAAAAATACTATAAATTGTATACTAATTGTAGGAAAAAAATATAAAATAGTAAATATAGAATACTAATAATAATATAAAATAAAAAATTGTATCAATAATAGTAGAAATAGTAAAAAAGTACTAATAGTAGTAAAAATATTTGTAAAAATAGTACTATTAGTACTAAAAATAGTAAAAAGTACTAAAAATAGTTCTAGTAGTGATATAAAATAGTATAAAAGTACTAAAAATTGTACCAATAATAGTAAAAAATATAAAATAGTAAAAAGAGTACTAATAGTAGTAAAAAATAAAAAATAGTACTACTAATAGTAAAAAGTACTAAAAATAGTAATTATAGTAATATGAAATAGTTAAAAAATACTATAAATAATTGTACCAATCGTAGGAAAGAAATATAAAATAGTAAAAAAGTACTAAAAATTGTACTAATAATTGTAAAAAAATATAAAATAGTAAAAAGAGTACTAATATCAGTAAAAAATAAAAAATAGTACTACTAATAGTAAAAATTACTAAAAATAGTAGTAATAGTAATATAAAATAGTAAAAAAATACTATAAATTGTATACCAATTGTAGGAAAAAAATATAAAATAGTAAATATAGAATACTAATAATAATATAAAATAAAAAATTGTATCAATAATAGTAAAAATAGTAAAAAAGTACTAATAGTAGTAAAAATAGTACTATTAGGAGTAAAAACATAGTAAAAAGTACTAAAAATAGTTTTAATAATTATATTAAAATAGTAAAAAAGTAGTAAAAATTGTACCAATAAATGTAAAAAAAATAGTTCTAATAATAGTAAAAAATAAAAAATAGTACAACAAATAGGCAAATACCTCAAAGTCAAGAAAACCCCCCCCAAAAAAAACCGCTATTGTATATTTTGTTTACAAATTATTATATATTTTTTTTTTTTTGTTTTTGCATTGAAAATTGCTTTTTAATGTCATGTGTATCGCATTGCAGAAGTTAATTGTTTGATGGTTTCTCCATTTCAAATAAGCCTTTTTCGTGCATTTTGGTTTAATGATCCAAAGTTTGGCACGAGGCAGACTGATGAGATTATGTGTGTAGATAAATATACGTATATATGTATATACGAACATCTTTGAAGAATCTTGATTTTTAAAAAATTTAATTTTGCCACAATATAATACAATGTTGGTTTCAAATCATGACCCTCATTTACAGCTGAAAAATGCAGTTGTGCGATGCCAAAAATCGATGTCTCAGCAAAAGCATAAAGTTAACTATATATTTTTGTGAAAATTAATGAGTTTTTCTATATATAATCAAAAGACCACGAGCCAAAATCTATAACATAAAATAACTTTTTTTTTTTTTTTTTTGCTAATAGTGCCTATTATAATACAGTTTTTTTTTAAATGAAAATATGATTTATTGTTTCGAAGTTAATGTCGAAAATGTATGTGAATTTTTTTTTTTTTTTGATATTCTATTGCGCAATGTGAAAAAATTGATTAACTATTTTTTTTGAGGCTTTTTAAATCCAAAAGTAAAAATAATTATATTTTAAAATTATTTCTTATTGTTAATTATTTTAATTATTTAATCAGATCGGAAAATTAATTTTTGTTGAAAGAATTTAATTTTGCTTAAAATAAATAATTTGAAATAATCAAAAAATTTTATTTTATAGAAAATAGAAGGGAAAAAAAAAATATTTGATGCCAAATATCACTGACTAACTTTGACGCAACCAAAATGAAATATTAATATATATATATATATATATATAGAAAATTTCGATACAATCGCGCAGAGATATACATTAAAATTTCGAAAACTTTTTTTTCTTGATACAATATGAGCATTCCGATAAGTTAAAGTTAAATTTTTTTTTTTTTTTTTTTTTTAACCATAATGAGGACATTAAGTTTACATTAAGTCAAAAAGTAATAATTTTGTCATTTAATTTTAAACTTTCCAATGTCTTTAAAGTCAGTCGTATAACTTGCATTGGATTGATAAGTTCCTCGTCTTCAACAAGTGATTTTATATATTCAATGACAATTGACTGTTTCAAAAAAAAAAAAAAAAAAAAAGTTTTTTCACCTGTAAATTTAAAATAGTTACAATTATTAACTAATATTATAAATGAATAACAACTAAATAAAAAACAGAAATATTTTATTATAAAAAAATAAATATCCAACTTTGGAATATAAAAAAAAAAAAAAAAAAATTGAAGTGAAATTTTAATAATAAAAAGTGAACGAGAATTTAAAAAATTTAGAATAGTGTATGTGAATAAAAAAGAAAATAATTTTTAAAATTTTCAAAATGTCAATTAACAATGAAGGAGTGATAAGGGAAGTAAATATTACAAATTCAACTTCCGTTATATCGCAAATGAATAATAATACCGATGAAAATAATCAAAAGGAAAAAGCTGCAATATCCCTTATGGAATTGGGCCATACAAATAATGTTAATCAAAATTTATTACGTAATTCAGTGGTTCATTCAATACATCCATCCTCACCTGTAAGTGATAATTCAAGAGCATCATCTAACAGTTGGTCTGAATATCAAAATTATGGACAAAATGAAAAAGTCATTAATTTTAATGAACAAATTGTTAATTCCTGGGAAATGAAAGCTGATCAAAATATGAATATGAATAAAAATGATTCTGAAATAATAAAAGCTGAAAATTCATTTTCAACTGAAAATAATACAACATATGAAATTCAAGGCTCAGGTATTGTGAAATTTTTTTTTTTTTATTTTTTGCAATTTTTATTTTCAAGCAAAATAGACAAAAAAAATATAAAGAAATTAGAGAATAATTGAGAAAAGAAAAAAAAACTGAACATAAACGAATAAAATAAATTTTAAAAAAAATTAATTAATTACAAATTGTTAAAATTAGTTTACATATGTTAATAGGGTAATAATTATAATAATTAAATTATAGTAATTAAATTATAAAAATTAAAATATAATAATAATTATATTATAATAAATAAAAAATAATAATTAAATTATAATTATTTAATTATTGGTCTATAATCATTAATTATAATAATTATTTTAATTCTAATTGTAATCATTATTAAATACTGTAATTATTACATTTATAAAGAAATTTCATTGAATTTAATCGAAAAAATATAATTGAAAAAAATTTATTTGAAATAATCGATTTTATCCAAATATTTTTTTTTTCCATTAAACAATTATTATATGAAGTCAATTAATTGTTATATTTATCTCAAATACAAAAAATATTTGTTCAAATACAAATTTTACAAAATTAAAATTATTTGCTTCAAGTAAATATTTATTTGATTAAAAAATTAATTGTTTATTTGAATAAAATAAATTTTTTTCCAATGAAATAACAAATAAATTAAAATTAAATAAATAATAATAAATGAAAAAAAAAATATGTTTTACAGATATACAGAAGAAACAAGGAAAAAGTAAACGATCAAGAACAGCCTATACAAGTGGACAATTAATTGAATTGGAAAAAGAATTTCATCACGCACGTTATTTGCATCGTGCACGAAGAATTGAATTGGCAACATCATTGAGTTTATCTGAACGACAAATAAAAATTTGGTTTCAAAATCGTCGTATGAAATATAAAAAGGAACAAATCAATAAAACAACTAATAATGGAACATTTATCAAGGAATCATTTATTGAAACAACGGGACAACAACAAATTAATACAAAAATAATTCCCAATATATCGTCAATGAGACGTAATTATACAAATTCAACAAATCAATATGGCTATCCAACGTGTTATACAATTGGTAATACAACGGGAAAAATTGAAAATTCTGAACAAACAATAAATAATTTTAAGGACAATAATGAACATTACAGTGGAAATGGTGGTAATAATGGATTGGATTCATCTGTTTATCAAATTTCACAAAATGATTATTATGATATAACAAGTGTTAGGGATAATTATTTTTCACAACAACAAGTATGGCAACATCATCCAAGTCAATATACAACATATCAACATCAACAATATCCATCATATCAACATTATCAACTTTCGCAAGATGTGGGAAAATATTGTTATGAATTACAAACGGAAAATTGTAATGATTTAACGGTTTTATAAAAAAAAAAATTTATGTTAATAATTTCTGCTAAATATTTAGCAAAAACAAATTGCTAACTATTTAGCAACAATAACAAATTGCTAAATATTTAGCAAAAATTGTAAATTATTATATTAAATTTAAATTGTTTTTTTTTTTTAAAGAAAATTATATATTATATAGAAAATTTGGAAATTACATAATAATATTAATAATTTTTATAATTTTTTGCCAAATTCGACCTAAATTGTTTTTTTTTAATGAAAATTGAGAAATTAGATAATAATGTTAATAATTTTTATAATTTTTTGCCAAATTCGACCTTAATTTGTTTTTTTAAATGAAAATTTAGATAATAATGTTAATAATTTATCATTTTTGCGAAATTAAACCCAATTTGTTCTTTTTTTTTTAAATTTTTGAGTCTAGAATAATTTTATTTATAATTTTTGATAAATTCGACATAAAATTGTTTTCGAATTAAATTTTACAAATATTAAGAGTATATTTTAAATTTTATATTTTCAAAATATATATAAATATATATATATATATATATATATATATATATATATATATATATATATATTGTAAAGTATAACCTCTTAAATAATTTTTAAAATAATTTAATAGATAAACAATTTATTTACTTTGCAAATCGCAAAGTATTATTTTTCAAATTGTTTATATATTACAAGAAAAATTGTATTATTAAATTAAAAAATATATATTACTTTGCTAAAATTTAATATTAATTAATAAAAAATAAAATAAATAAGTAAATAATAACGTAAATAAATAAATAATAAAAAATAATAAAAATAATAAATAATAAAAATAATAAATAAAAAAATAAATGAATAACAAAATAATATAAATAGAAAATTTGGAAATTATTATTAGAAACAGTTAACTATTTATAATAGTTAATTAATTATTTTACAAAATTATAATTATTATAAAAACGAACATTTTATTGTTAAATATTTATTTATGCTTGTATAGTTATTTAATATTGTAAGCAACAATAAGCCACATAATTGAAAAAAGCTTTTTTTGATTAATTAATTAATAATAATTAATTGATAATTATTTTTATTATTAATGAAAAAAAAAATTACCTAATTTTTACGAATAAATATAATTTTTAGCATCGAATGTTTCTAATTTAAAATTATTTCTAAATTAAATTATTCTATGTAACAAATTTTTGTACTATTCGTCATGATTTTTATTAAAACATTTTATTTATTAATTTCTACATATATTGAAAATATTCCATAATAAATTATAAAAAAAAATATAAATAAACTCTTCTTTTTTAATATATATAATCGTTTAAAAATCCACGTATACTCATTTTTTTTTTTTGAGTATATATTTCTTTTTCGTCATAAAAAATTAGTGACACACACATCAATTTGTAAATGTGTTTTTTCTCTATTTTTTCAATTAGTGAACTTCTTAATGACTAAATATATTGTTGTGTCATAAGGGAAAAATAGTTTTTAAGTTTTGAACATTTTTAATGATATGTAATTTTCACTATATTGGAAATTAGAGTGAAAATTTTTCTTTTCTGATAAGTCATTTTTGTTTCACAATTAGTTATAAGAGAAAAAAAAGATCAAATATAGATAAGATTAATGCTCAAAAAAAAAATGTAAATTTAATAAAAAACAAAATAATTACTTAAAATGTTCCTTTTTTTAAAAATCCTTTCTGTAGCAAATAAATAATTATTTAACGTATATAGCAAAAAATATTATAAAAAAAAAGAATATGAAAGAAAGATAAAATTAATCCGAAAAAAAAACAAAAATGTAAATCAGAAAATATTTAAAAAGAAATTAAAATTCTTTTTAAATCCTTTTGTTTATCAAATATTTATCAATTTTTCTTTTTTGAAAAATATATATATATTTATATATATATATATATATTGAGATGAAAGATTTCTTATCCAAAAGTCTCTGTCAATTTGGTGTGAGAAAAAGGTGAAAAATATACAAAAGAGAGAAAAACGGGACAAAAAACAGAAAGTCGATAAAATATATAAAAGAAAAGTGCGGGAATAAAGCAAAAGAAAGGTCCAGTTTAGTTGAGAGATGCAAAAGGATGAGATTGATTATCCTTTTCCTGTCGGTTTGATTTCTAGTCTTTTCCATTATTCCTCCCTGTAATTTTGTTTTTTATTTCTTTTTTCTTCTTTTATTATTTTTCTTTTTTCTAATTTTTTCTTTCATTTTTATTTTTCTTTTTTTTTTTTTTTTTTTTTCTTTTTTTTTTTTTTCTTTTTAGTATAAATATATTCTCATCACAGCTCTCTCACGATTTTTGCGATTTCCTTCTGATATCTCTCCTTTTTCAAGAAAGAAAAAGAGAGACACAGAGAGAGAGAGAGAGAGAAAGAGAGCTGTCTGCAAGCTCATCCGATTTTTCTGAATCTCACCCTTCATTCGTAGGGGTTGAAATTCACCCTTCTTTCGATTTCCCCTTTTTCTGCAGCGTTTTTTTTTTTTTTTTTTTTTTTTAGACGCAAAAATCGTCGAGGAAGCGCAAAAAAAAAAAAAATGCGAAAATGGAAAAAAAAAACTTGTTTTCTTCAGCGTTAATTCCTTTCTTGCAATCAACTTTTTCTGCTGGTGGAAAAAAAAAATATAAATTTTTATATATAATCGGTTTCTGTTTAGGGGAGATAAAAATTAATTTATGAAAACAAGAATTGAAAATATCTGTTATTTCAAAAAAATTCCTTTTTTGCCATTTTTTATAGCCAAAGACAAAAAAAAAAAGGGTAAAAAGAAAACAATTTTTGAAACAAAAAAAATAGAAATAAAAAATAGAAACAAAAAAAAATAGAAATAAATTTAAATAAATTGAAAAATATAAAATTTTCTGCCTTGGATTTATAATGTCTGAAAAATCAACTTTAATGAGCATATTTGGCGCCTGTCTAATGAATAACTATTTTCGCAGCTTGGGGTCCTTGTCTGCCAAAGAAATTTCAGCTACCTTATAATTCTCCCCCCCCTCTCTCTCTCTCTCTCTCTCTCTCTCTCTCTCTAGACGCCACTTTGTTCTCCATGTTTAACAATAACTGTGACAATATACAAAAATAAATGATAAATAATAAATAATTTTTTATATTTTATGCAATATTTCAATATTTAATTTGAAATATCTCGCAATTTAAAAAATTACAAGTACAGCAAAAAAAAATATATATATATATATTTTTAAACAATTTTTTTCTCAATAAATAAAAAAATAAATAAAAAAATGAAAATTTCACTTATTTGTAATTTTTTGTTTTTTATTATTTCAAAAATTTAAAATTATTCTTGAATGGGCTGGGCCATAGATGAAGATAATGACTTCATTAGGCAAATGGTAATTTTCTATTGGTAAAAGGGAAAAATGGGATGTTACTAGAAATTTTGCTAAGCATTTTCTCACTTTGTAATTTGCTTAAAGATAGAAAATTATTTTTAGTGGGGAGGAGACTATAAAAGGCATGGATTTTCTTCCAAATAACATCACTACACTGAAAAGTTTTGTTCACTTCATTTGTGAAAACTTGTAATTTTTATTTTTCATTATAACAAAACAAATTTTCAAAGTATTTGAAAATTATTTTTTTTTTTTACTCAACTTTTTACTATTTTTGAATTCAAGTGTTGAAGCATTTTTTGGTGCAAAAATATATTTCAAGTGGTTAAAACAGTTTTTTTTTTTTGGAAAAATTTACTATCGAAATATAGAAAAAATGGCATTCAACGATATGAGATACCGTTCATTTTCCTCTTCATCGAATGAAGAGAATTTAATTTGCAATTCTGCAACTGATGGTGGAATTTTACCGCCAACACCACCGCACGATTATCAAGAATTTGGAAATTCAAGATTTGTACCGGTCATCAATTATTGTCCAGTGAATCAACGTTCTCTCGTCAATGTTTCACCAAAAGTTTCAATTTCAAAAGGTTTGTATATTTATTTAATTGTATTTATATATATTTACCGAAAAATTATCAAATTTTTGAAAAATATTTTTCTTTTCAATAGAGAAAATATATTTATCCAAATTTTTCCCTATAAATAAATTTGGAAATTTAATTTTCTTTTTTTTTTTTTTGTTAACAGAATCAAAAACTGAAGGAAGAAAAAAACGTCCAAGAACTGCATTTACAAGCGAGCAATTAATTCAATTAGAACGTGAATTTGCAACATCTCACTATATTCATCGTACACGTCGTATTGAATTGGCAAGAAATTTGGATTTATCTGAGCGTCAAATTAAAATTTGGTTTCAAAATCGTCGTATGAAATTGAAAAAAGAAACAAAAAGTGAAATTATTGTTGCTGATAAAAAATGTATTCGCAATACAATAATGGAGAATTCAAGGCAATTAATACCAAATGTACAAATGTCAAGAGGTGAATTAACAAATATCAATAATAATAATCAATTAATGGAATCAACATCGTGGCCAACAAATCATGGAAATTCAATAGATAGAAAAATTTCTGTTATTATACCACAATCAAAATTCAATCACAAATATATGAATGAAAATAATTATCAACAAGATTATTTTCCAATACATCATGATGTTATGGGAAATTTACGTTATCAACAATCGCAAGTTTATCAACCAGTTCAACATGATTTTTTTGAGGTAAATGATTCAATTAACAATTGTCGTTATCAACAATCGCCGGTTTGTCAAAATAATAATAATAATAATAATCAACATCAATATTTGTCATATGCACCAATTCAATATGAAGATTATTCATTTGCCAATGAATTGGGAAAATATGTTGATTTTCAAAATGAAAATTGTTCAAATTTTACTGAACTTTAAAAAAAAAAAAAAAATTTGTTGAAACATTCAAAAAAAAATTATTGAAATAATTTGTAATTTTTTTTTTTCTTTTCTGTGTAGTAATTATTTTTTTTGTCTCTAGTCAAAATATAGATTTAGTTTTTTTTTTTTTGTAAAATTGATTGTACATATATTTTTAAAAAGTTAACTTGTTTTTTTTAAAATTGCGATCGTATAGTTTTTACTGATAGTTTCATTTTAGGATTTTGTATATAAATAATGTATTTAAAAATTAGAAGTTATAAAAATTATATGTAAAAACTAAATAATTTAAAAAATAAGAAAATGTATTTTAATTGAAAAATGAATTTAAAAATTAATCTAATTTTAGTAAATTATAATTATATATATTAATATTAATATAATTTATATATAGTAAGAAATTATTTCTTTGTACAAATTTTTTATTTTCAAAATTTTATTTGAAAAGTAGATTTAAATAAAAATATTGTTAACCACGCTTATTCGAATATTTTTAGAATTTTTCTGTTGTATATATATATATAATGTAAAAAAAAAGTAAATTAATTTTCGTATATTTTTTTTTTTTAATGTATTGTCGTTGTACGAAATTGTAATATGCGAAAACTTAAATTTAAGTATAATTTCAATATTTAAATATATTTATATATAAGAATAAATTAATAGAATTTAAGAATTATTGGCTTGTGTATCTGGAATATAAATGTTTAATAAAATTTTGTACTCTTTTATATATATTAATTTCTTTCTTTCTCGCTTTGCCTTCACAATTTTTTTAATTATTTTATAATGTAGAAATTTTAATAAATTATTATTCTACAAATGATTATAATATTATTTTCTTTTAAAAATAAAAAATTTTTTCTTTTTCACAAAAGAGTAGAAATTTTAATTTTCGAAAAAATATGTAATTTAATTTTGAAACTTAAAATTATTCACTCAATTTTTAATATAATTTAAAATTTCCAAAAAAAAGTTGTATTTTTCATAACATTTTTTAAATGTCATTTTTATTGAAACCAATTGATTATTGTAAAAATAATCCTTTTTTCGACACCTTGTATTTATTTATATACATTTTTTTTTTTTAATTAAATTTCTTTTGAGAAATCTAATAAATTTTTTTTTTTTTTAATGAAAAATGTAAGTTATGTTGCGCTGTAAATTATTTTTAAAGAAATTTTTGAAAACTATAAAAATAGTTACACGGAAAAAATCTTTATGTGGAACAGTGATGTTTCTCTAGAATAGCGAAAATTTTCTCTGTTTTAGTGAAATATATCGCTGTTCCAAGTGAAGATTTTTTTCCATCTACAATAAGATATTATTTAATTTTTGTATTATTAATTAAAAAATATTAAAAATATTAAAAATATTAAAAATATTAATAATATAAATAATATAGAAAATATTAATAAATATTAAAAATGTTAATAATATCAAAAGTATCAATAAAAAAAATTAAATTAAAAAGAAAAATTTTAAATACCAAAATAATATTATTGAGAAACTAAGAAGGAAAAATAGTGACGAAAAATATGTGATATTAGAAAAATCCCACCAGTACCAAATTTAACCCCTCTTCTTGCAATAATTTTGAGAAGAGGTGCAAAGACGAATAAGATAATTATCATTCACCAAAAGTCAAAATCAATGACTCCTGATTGGCTCAACAGGTGAGTGGGATGGTACCAACCCCTGTGGTTACATGCAATTACACCTGTACTGGTCTAAAGGGGGCCCAAATCAATATTGGTGGGGGGTAAGGGTATAAGAACCTGCAATTTTTCAAATTTCATTACTTTACTGAAAAGTTTTGCACTATCAAGTATATTCGGATATACTTGTTGCTCGCTATTACTTTTGTTTTTGACTTTTTCTTTGGTGATCTCGCCAATTGACTTTTAACTCTTGTCTTCAAGTGTTAAATTATCCCTTGTGTGTGTGTGTATGTGTGTTTGTATATAACACTCTTGTGAAATTTTTGTGAAAATTTTCGTGAAATTTCTTTCAAACTGTTTTGTGTTCAGTTTCCAATTTTTTCGAGTGATTAAACTCCAAAATCATTTTATTTGGAAAAAAAAAAATGGCCTTCAATAACAGTGATCAGGGATATCATTCTCTACCTTCTTCTTTGTCATCATCACCAATACAACCAACATCATCAGGGGCATTATCTTCTGAAAAAATGCCCTTGTATCATAGGGATGTGATATATAATTCGCAGCCTTCTTCTTCAACACCATCACCAACATCATCGAATGAACAATTTCATTTTGTTCAAGCAGTTTTGCCGCCACCTCAGAATTATCAATTTTATGATAATTTAATAATTGAACCTGAGAGCAGAAATTATTCAAATAAACGACGTTACGTGAGGAATGCTGTACCAAGATGTGTCACCAATAATAATCGTCCATCAAATGCAAATGGTATGTATTTATTCTTTTTATATTTATTTTTTTCATATTTGTTGCTATTTCAAAAAAAAAAATAAAATAAAAATAAATTTGTTTTCTCTTCATTCTATTTTTTTGGTAATAATTTAAAATGAAAAAATTGTTTCAAAAATTGGATAGTACTGAAAAAATTCCCTTTTTTCTGAGATTTTGTAGAGTGATTTTGGATTTTTGATTTTCTACATGAATTCGTTAAATTATTTATTATCTTGGATTAAATTTAACTTTGAAAATTTGAAATTTTCAAGCATTTTCTGAATTTTCTTTTTGGTACAAAAAAAAATTTTCTAACTAATTTCTTAATTAATTAATTTCATCCAAGGTTCTCGAGAAATTTTACTTTGTAAATTGAAAATTTTTGGCCATTTTTTGATTTTTTATTTGGGTACAAAAAATTTTCAAAAACTAATTTCATCTCAATTTCTTGAAAAAAGCCTTGAAAATTGAAAATTTTGGGACATTTTTTTGATTCTTTATTTTGGTACAAAAAATTTCCTATCTAATTTCATCCCAAGTTCTCGAGAAAAGCCTTGAAAATTGAAAATTTTTGGTCATTTTTTGATTTTTTATTTGGGTACAAAAAATTTCCAAAAACTAATTTCATTTCAATTTCTTGAAAAAAGCCTTGAAAATTGAAAATTTTTGGTCATTTTTTGATTTTTTATTTGGGTACAAAAAATTTCCAAACTATTTTCATCCCAATTTTTTGAAAAAAGCCTTAAAAATAGAAAATTTTAAGAAATTTTTTAATTTTTTATTTGAGTACAAAAAATTTCCTACCTAATTTTATCCCAGTTTCTCGAGAAAAGTCTTGAAAATTGAAAATTTTAGGTCATTTTTTGATTTTTCATTTGGGTACAAAAAATTTCCAACCTAATTTCAACTACCACATTCTCCAGAAAAACTTTGAAAATTGAAAATTTTATGGCAATTTTTGATTTTGGTACAAAAAATTTCCTGATTAATTTCTTAACTAACTGATTAATTAATTTCATCCAAGGTTCTCGAGAAATTTTTGCTTTGTAAATTGAAAATTTTAGGCCATTATTTGATTTTTTATTTGGGTACAAAAAATTTCGAAAAACTAATTTCATCTTAATTTTTTTGAAAAAAGCCTTGAAAATTTAAAATTTTTGGTCATTTTTTGAATTTTTATTTGGGTTCAAAAAAATTTTCTAAATAATTTCATCCGTGATTTTCGAAAAAAATCTTCTTTATAATTAAAAATTGAAAATTTTTGAGGCATTTTTTAATTTTGGTATACAAAAACTTGTTTTACTTATTCAGCATATGCAATTTTTGAAATTTTCCTCAAGAATTTTCAATTTTGACTTTTTCAAAAAAATATCCACTTTTCAATGAGTTATCCGTGTTGTAATTTTAAGTGCATTAAGACACAAACAAAATTACGGGGCAAATTTCAAAAACACAGATAACTTATCGAAAAATAAATATTTTTAAAAAGTAAAAATGGGAAATTATTAAAAAAGAAATGGTCTTTTAAATGCATATCTTCAATATTAATAAAAAAAAAAAAATTTATACCGAAATAAAAAATCGAAAAATGCTCTAAAATTATCATTTATATTCAATTTTCAAAGTCAAATTTCTTGGGTATAGGGTCTGTTTATGGATTCGTGGTCAGCATAGAAAAAAAGAACTAAAAATCACCTTAAGCTATCAGAAAAATAAAAATGGTATTGTACCATAATAAAATATTTTGTAAAAAATTCGATTTAAAATTCTCTGTATATTAAAACAATGTGAAATACAATTTTAATTATTCTTTTTTTCCCTACATTTTATACCAAAAAAATAGATTTATGTAAAAAATTAGAAAAATATCAAAAACTTTTATGTGCATTTTTCTAATTTTCTTTTTTATGTTTTTAACATAAGAATTTTTATCAGTTGTATTTTCTGTAACATTATTTTTTATTTGTCAATTTAATGTAAAATAATTTCTATATTTGTCGAGTTAACATTTTGTATTTAATAAATAGACGCTTGGCTAAGAAGTAGAAGTGTAGCAAAAATTAAAAGTTGGAAGATGAGAGAAGGAAGAACACTTGTTACTTCTAATTCTTATTTTTCCACTTTTAATTTTAAGCTACACTTTTTTCTTTATAGCTGCTATCAAATTAAATACACGCTGTAAACTCAATTATACATTAACAAATATTTAACTGATATAAATAGTTCCAGATGAAAATAATATTGGAGAAAAAGAAAAACGTTTGAGGACATCGTTTACCAGCGACCAACTGATGAGAATGGAGAAGGAATTTGCCATTTCCCCATACCTATGTCGGGTGAAGAGAGTTGAGTTGTCAAGCAGTTTGGTTCTATCTGAGAATCAAATTAAAATTTGGTATCAAAATCGAAGGATGAAAGCGAAGATGCAGTCAACAGCTGCCAAACTAAAACATTCCATTCTAAAGCATAATTCTTGTAAATCTTCTCGTGCTTCCAAAATGATGGGAGGTGCTTGTCATTTGTCTCAGGGAAATGCTTTTGGCAATGTGATGTTTGTCAATGGTGTTCAGCAGCAATTTCAACAGCAGCAATTTCATCAGCCTCAATTTCAACAGCAGCAATTTCAACAGCCTCAACTTCAACAGCAGCAATTTCAACAGCCTCAACTTCAACAACATCAATTTCAACAGCAGCAACTACAACAGCCTCAATTTCAACAGCAGCAACTACAACATCCTCAATTTCAACAGCATCAATTTCAACAGCAGCAACTACAACATCCTCAACTTCAACAGCATCAATTTCAACAGCAGCAAATGAATTATTATCAGAATCAGAGTCAGAATAATCGTCAGCAGCAATATCAGCAACGTAAGATGAAGAAAATGTCTGCTGGCAAGCGAAATGTTTGTCAACAGTCTCAGCAAGTTCCTGTTGTGAATATTAAGTTTGCCAACGCTGTTCGCCAACAGCAACAACAAGTACAACAGCAACTGAAGAATAAGAACGCAGTTTACAACCAATGCGTTGCTGTACCTGTTGCTAATTATCACCATCAGCAAGTTCCTGTTGTAAATATGATGTTCCCCAATGCTGTTCAACAACAACAACAACAACAGCAAATGAAGAATAAGAACGTAGTTTACAACCAATACGTTTCTGTACCTGTTGCTAATTATCACCATCAGCAAGTACATATGACGTTTCCCGATGCTGTTCAACAACAACAACAACTGAATAATAAGAACGCAGTTTACAACCAATTTGTACCAACTGCTGATTCCTGTCAGCAAATTCCTGTTGCAAATATGATGTTTGACGATGCTGTTAAACAACAACAATTGGAGGATGTGAACCAATGCATTTCCAATGATGCATCCAATGTTAAGGATAAATCAATATTAAAGAAGGCAATTCATAAAATTTTGGTTGCTAAATGTGTAAAATCTCTGGAAAAATCATCTACCGATGATGTTCAACAACAACCAAAGGATGTGAACAATCAATGCGTTTCCAATGCTGCACCTATTGATGATTCTTATTTACCCAGTGCTGAATTTAATTTAATAATGGATGAGGATATTGTTGAAATTTTGGGTGCTGACAATATGACATCTTCTGCAAAATTATTTGTAGGTATGATTGCCGATGATTTTCAACAGAAGAAAATGGATCAATCGCCTGGAAATTCATCAAACTCTTTCAATAATCAGGAGCAAATTTCCCAATATCAGGATATAATTGAGATAATTAGTAATGATTCTCAATTATCTCCAACTTGTTCTGATGAAAATGGAATCAATGCCGATTGTATTCAACAACAAGTTAATTACAACTATTCAGGTGAGAATAGTTCAATCTGCAACAAGTTTATGAATTCAAAGAAAGAAGTTTTAGATGACATTCATGATTTTTTACATTTTAATTAATATAATTTTATCTGTTTACTTTACTATTAATAGTAACATATGTGCCATTATAGTTTTTAATTCTAGATATAGTATTTTTTTTATCTATAATTTTATAAATTAGATAAATAGGTTTTAAAATTTTTGGTTTAAAATTTTTTAGGCTATATTTTTATATTATAATTTGTATAAATGTAGTTAAGCTTTTATCACATCTATACCGGTAACATATACCATTATAGTTTTTACTTTTATATATAGAATTTTCTATATCTGTAAGTACAGACAAATTTTGTTTTCAAATTATCTGTAAGTACAGATAATTTTGTTTTTAAATTTTTGTTCCTAACTTTTTGAACATTCAAGTGATATATATATATAAGTAAAAAGTATATTTTTGTAATATAATTTGTATAAACATATTTTAGCATTATATACCAGTAACATATAGTATATAATTTTTACTTCGATATAGTATAGAATTTTCCTATATAATTTTTATAGATAGTTTTAAAATTTTGATTTGTAAATTTTTAAAAATTCAGGTGATATATACTATATAAGTAGAAAGTATATTTTTGTAATATAATTAGGATAAACATATTTTTTTACTATAATTATTATAATCATATTCAAACGTTTATCGTAATATTTAAGCTTTTATCATAACACTACCAATATAATTTTTACTTTTTTATATATATATTGAATTTTATATCTATAATTTATATAGATAATTTTGTTGTAAATTTTTTGTTTAGAAATGTTTAAACAATTAGTTGATATATAAAAATGTAAAAATTATATTTTTATTTTATAATTTGTATAAACATATTTTAGCTTTTATCATATATATATATATATATATATATACACCAGTAACATATACCGCATATATAGTTTTTACTTCTATTTTTATAGAATTTTTTTACTAATGTTAGATCATTATTTTTTAAAAATTTTTGTTTTTAAATTTTTAAACAATTATGTATTACAGTATAATTTTATAATATAAGTTGTATAAAAATATTTTAACTTTAATAACATACCATATAATTTTTACTTCTATATATATAGAATTTTTTTATTTAATTTCTAAATTATGTTCTAAATGTATTAAATTATGTTTTAAACTTGATTAAATTTATGTTTAAAAATTTTTTAAATTGTGTTTTAAAATTTTTTAAATATTAAATCAATCAAATGATACATATATATATATAAGTAAAAAGTATATTTTTGCAATATAATTTTTATAATTATATTTAAATTTTATTATATACATCAGTAACATATACCATATTGTTTTTAATTCTATTGCTGTATAATTTGTAGGTGACTTCGATATGAAAATTTCTATGTAAATATTTTTGTATTTAGTTATAAGTGACGCAATTATATGTATATACTTTAAGTTTCATCGAAGCTGAGTCAAATGCTCAAAATATTTTTATTTTTTTATATATATAGCGTTTATTTTTAAGTTTTCTTTATAGTATTAATCCAATTTTATTTTTCAAATTTAATTTTAAGATTTTTGACTGTAAATAGATTTTATTTTCTTATTAATTTTTTTTTCTAGTCGGAATTATTCTCCTCGTATATTGTCAATTAGAAAAAAAAATTCATTCTCTATTTTTCTGTAAATAGAAGATTTTATTTTTGTACATATATAGTTAAAATTAATTATATATAATTGCATGTTTCTTGGGTTTTATGTATAATATTCTTTAATTTTAAGTTCAATAGAAAAAAGCAAAATGGTATATATTATACTAATATTCAGAAATAATTTTTTTTTTATCTGAAAAAAAATGCATATAATAAAATTCACTTTCCTTTTATATTTTCCATCTATATTTATTTATCTCTCCCTCTATTCACCGCAGATTGTTATTTTTATAATTTATAATTTTGGAATTAAAAAAAAAAAAGAAAATTTTTTTTATTCTCTTTCAAATAAATATTAATTTTTTTAAATATTAATATTTCAATAAAAATATTCAATTACACCGTCCGACACAATTTTTGATCCACAAAAAAATTTAACATTTTCGGAAACTAGGACCCAAAAAAAAATACCCGTATCTGGCCGTTTTGCAAAATCAAGTTGTTTGTGGTTTTTAAGTCAGATTTTCAAAATTCAAAATGGCGGATCCAATATGGCGATCAAATTTTTAAAAAGTTATTAATTTTTTATTTTATAACCGCCATTTTGAATTTTGATAATTTAACATCAGATTCGTCATTAGCGACCCAAAAAACCCCTAGATATCAAGGTTTAAAAAAGAATTTAATAACTTTTTAAAATTTTGAGCGCCATATTGAATCCGCTATTTTGAATTTTGAAAATCTGACATCAGATTAACCTTGAAAATCCCCAGATACCAAGTTTTATAAAATATTAATAATTTTTAAAAGATATCTTGTCACTTTTCATTTAGGGGTTTGTTTTCACCCCTAAAAACCACACACGACTTAATCTAGCAAAACGGTCAGATACGGGTATTTTTTTTTTTTTAGGTCCTAGTTTCCAAAAATGTTGGATTTTTTTGTGGGGCAAAAAAAAAAGTTGAATTTTGTCAGACGGTGTTATAAATTTTTTCTTGAAATTATGCATATTTAAAAATTTTTAAACTAAAAATTAAAAACTAAAAACTAAAAAGTTGTTATTAGAGTAGAATTTTTTTTTTTTTTTTTGATATTTAGTTTGTAAAAAAAATACCAAAAAAAAAAGATTAAAATCGTCATTCAGAAATAAAAAGAGAGGCAAATCCGAAAAGTTGCAGGTCACGTATGGTTCCGATACTTGCCACAGTATGGCGCCTGATGTCAGATGTGGCACCCTCGAATATATCAAAGTTCATGCGTTTCTACCTAATATCACATTGCACCTTGCCCCCGTTACCCCAAAGAAGTTCAACTTTCTTCACGTGCCGCTCAGGCGATCCACATTTTCCCTCGTCTCTCTCTTTTTTCTCTTCTGATCTTTATTCATTCTTTGCCTTCACCCATATCAATTTTTCTACATTTTAACTGCGAAAAAGCTCGCAGTCACGTTAAGAATCTCAACATATATATATATATATATATATATATTGTATATATATATATATACGCGAGACCCTCAAATCTTTTGCCATCAAGTATATTATATTTTCCCAACGTAATCGTCATTCGTTGCCATTGGTAACAGACTTGCAAAACAATCGTTAGTATACATCGACGAAAGGGTCAATTTTCTAGGGTGTATTTATGTCATTATTTTATATACATATGTCATTAATCTAAATCGGGTTTTTTGTATCAATATTCATAAGAGTCCAAAGACAATTAATTTTCATGTCGATAGTACTAAATATTCATTTAATAAATAATAGAGCTTCTATATAAGAACTAGTTTGAAAATTTATCACTAGGATTTTAGATGAGAAAAAATTAGGTTAGGTTTTTACGCGCCAAAAATAAGGTGCAAAAATTAGGTTAGGTTTTTTCGCGCCAAAAATTAGGTGCAAAAATTAGGTTAGGTTTTTTCGCGCCAAAAATTAGATGCGAAAATTAGGTTAGGTTTTTTTCGCGCCAAAAATTAGGTGCGAAAATTAGGTTAGATTTTTTCGCGCCAAAAATTAAATTCCTATTTTTATTTGATGATAAATCTGTATATATATATATAGACGCACATAAAGAAATATATTTGAAACAATATTGAAAATTTCTAATATGGAATTTTTTTCAATTTTGATAAATAATATACATCCATTATTCATTGAAGGGAAGGAGAAGACTAAACTCGAATCTCTAGAGTATTAAATGTATATGTATATACATATATCTGACGTAAATCGGATGCCAAAAAATGTTCAATTCATATTCAAATACTCTTTTAAATAAGATTCAAGTGGTCATTGACTTATTGATTTACGTTATAATATAAAATTATATATAGATCAATCTGTATTATCGCTCATATTTAATTTACGTTTCTTTTTTTTTTAAATTAACTTCTCGATAACAATTATTAAATATTTTTTTACTGTAATATTAAATAATTAATATTAAAACATTCTTTAATTTATTGCATAATTTTAAGTATATATATAGATACAAAATACCGATCGAGTACTCTGTTGGTAACAAAGATTCGATAAAATACCCTGTCGGTAAAAAAGTAGGTAAAATTACCTAATTTTAATTATCAATACCGTAATTATTGATTTATAATTAATTTTTCTTTCTTTAAATTACATTTACTTTCTACCTATAGGTGGCAGAAAGATAAAATTCAAAAAAAATTTCATTTTATTTAATGGAAAAAAATATTTTAAAAAATACACGTGACCGTGAAAAGAATTATTCGACACCTGAGTAGAGAGGTAAATAGTGGACTGAAATACATCAGGGGATGTTGAGTGTAAAAGTACAAGTATAGGTATTACACTGTACTAATACTAATATATATATATATATATATATATATAGTAGTCACGCAAGACTTGCCACGTCACCGGCTCTTGGATCCGCGCGTCTATCTGTCAGTTTCCAGTCTCAAATAAGATGGATGGCTGGCGAATGGAAATCATGGTTGAAACTTACCCCATCTCTACTGCCTATATTCGCTCCCACTTTCAACCCCTTTTTAGCTACCCTGCTCTCGGTCCCCGTGAATTCTATATGCCGTGCTCTCGCTCTCTTTCCCTCTATACTATCATCCAATCCTCGTGTAACCCACCACCCGAAATATATCTAAATATATTTGTATGAGATATTATGCGCGTATATATATATACATACATAAAGGGAAATTCTTAGCAAAAGAAGCCCCCAAAGGGACTCTCTCCTGGAATTCCTCATGTGACGTTCTTGAATATGCAAAATTGGTTTAGAAATTTTAAACCCCCATTTTATTTTTTTTCTTTCCAAAACTTTATTCATTTTTTTTCCAAGTTTTTATTTTTTTTTAATTCCATTTATTAAAATATAAGTTATTTTTAATTGAAATTAACCAATTCGATATGGGATTACCGACCGAGTACTCTGTATAGGTATATAGTTGAATCGGTCGGTAAGTTAGATTCGGTTTTTGTAGGTTTAGGTTTTTCGCAAATAAGAACAAACCGCACAAAGTAGGATGAAATAAAAAGTTTGTTTTTCGAACGAACATATAGCCCACAATAATATAATTATAATATTATATATAATATTAATATAA